TCCCCGGGATAGAAGTCAGGCTGATGGGCCTATAGTTAGCCGGATCCACTTTCCTCCCTTTCTTGAAGATAGGCACCACATTGGCCTTCTTCCAGTCTTCGGGCACTACACCAGAGCGCCAAGAGTTTTCAAAGATCCGTGCTAGAGGCTGGGCTATGATGCTCGCCCGCTCCTTGAGTACCCTGGGGTGAAGATTGTCAGGGCCAGCTGACTTGAAGGTATCCAGCTTCTCAAGATGTTCCTTCACGAAGTCAGCATTAATGGAGGGCAGGGGATCACCCTCACCCAGACTTCCCGGCCCTGTAGCGGGCATGGGCGTCCCATGGGACTGATGAAAGACCAACGCAAAGTACCTATTTAATAGGTTGGGTTTTTCCTGGGCGTCAGTTGTCTCTCGCCACTTCCGAGCCTAACTGGGCTTTTTTCCTGGTCGGCGGGCCCTTTTAAACTGCGCGCATGCGCGGTTGGACGCGGTTCAGTTGCAGCCTTGGCTTTCCTGGTCTGCTCCCTACAGGACCGGACCAGTGCAGAATAATCCTCCTTGGAGGTGACTCCCATCCTCCACCCTTTGTAGGCCTTTCTTTTTAGCCTCAGGAGGTCTGCTAGGTCCCTGGAGAGCCAGGGGGGCTGCTGTGCCCTTTTGCTGCCTTTCCTCCGAGATGTAATAGACTTAGTTTGTGCATTGAGGATCGCTCCCTTGAGGAGCAACCACTCCTCTTGAACTCCCCTCTCCCTGTGGTCACGGTCCCTTAGGGCCTCACTGACAAGCCTCCTGAGCTTGTCAAAGTCGGCTTTCCTGAAGTCAAAGACTTGCGCATTGCTGACCAACTTGCCAGCTTTTCGGCGGATGGTGAAGGTGATCAGCTCGTGGTTGCTGTCACCCAGCTTGGGGTAGAGGACTTAGAAAGAGCTGCAGGGAAGGGGCATGTCCCAGCCCCCTGCCCAAATCCACCAGTGGGACAGCTAGCAGTTAGCAGCCAGCTCGCTGCTAGCTACCCCACCAGTGGACTGAAGCAGGGGGTTGGGACCTACCCCACACCTGCAGATCTTTCCAAACCCCATGCCTCAATCACTTGATTGGAGCATGAAGCTGGGACCTGCCCCTAACTGGGACAGTTCCCAGCCTCTGCTCCATGACCATGGGGCAGGGGCTAGGGAGCTTGTTCCCCGCTCAGCTCCGTGAGCATGGAGCTGGAAGGGGAACAGACTCCCCATCCTGCTCCCCACCTAGCTTCACACTCATGGAGCTGAGCAGAGAACAGGCTCTCCAGTGCCAGCCAGCAGGGAATGCCCAGCACTAGCTCCATGGTCGTGGAGGAAGAGCTAGGAGATAAGTCTCCGAGCCCCTGCTACCCAATTGCAATCTTGGAACAGTGGGCTTGGAGCTCCCTCCTGCTGGGGCAGGCGGACGAAGTGCCATCTTGAGCTTCAGTGGTGGAGCCCGCTCTGGCAGCAGGCAGCTCCCAGGGGCAGGAAGGAAACACAATGGAAGTGTGGGACCCCTGCTTAATACCTCTGGACAGCTGGTAACCAACATTTGGGAAAAAACTGAATTCCTGAATGCCCACTTTGTTCCAGTTTTTCACCAGACCATGGGGAAAGTCAAGCGAGATAAAGCTCATAGGGGACATGCCAGGACTAACAACCTCCCCACTGTGGATGCTGAGTGGGTGCAATACCAATTAGAAAAGCTAGACATTTATAAGTCATCAGGACTGGATGGACTCCATCTACGAATGTTGAAGGAGCTGGTTGAGGTCATTGCAGAGCCCCTGGCAAAGCTCTTTCAGAATTCGTGGTGCACAGGGGAAATCCCTGAGGATTGGAAGAGGGCCTACATTGTACCCATCCTCAAGAAGGGGAAGAGGGAGGACCTGGGCAACTATAGGCCAATCAGCCTAACCTCCATCCCAGGGAAAATCCTGGAAAAGCTCATTAAATTATGTATGTGCAATATGCTTGCAGAAGGTAAGATTCTGAACAACAGCCAGCATGGCTTTGTTGTGGGTAGGTCTTATCTTACCAGTCTCATCTCCTTCTGTGACCAGGTCTCTCACCACCTGCACACGGGAGACATCATAGACGTTATATACCTAGACTTTCAAAAGGCTTTTGATTTAGTATCCCACAATATCGTTTTGGGGAAACTGGAAGATTGTGGGCTCAGCTGCTCGATGATTAAGTGGGTGGGAAACTGGCTAAAGGTAGGACCCAGAGAGTTCTCATGAATGGATCTGTGTCAACCTGGCACAAAGTGGCCAGTGGTGTCCCTCAGGGGTCCATGCTTGGACCGGTACTTTTCAACATCTTTATCAATGATTTGGATGGGCAGTGAAAAGCTCTCCAGCCAAGTTCGCAGACAACACTAAGTTATGGGGCAGTGTGGTCACGTCAGAAGATAAGTTGCAGATACAGGCAGTCCTAGACAGGCTTGAGAGTTGGGCAGACCAGAACCAGATGAAGTTTAACACTTCCAAGTGTTAAACAAGATCATGATCATCAGGACAAGATCATGGCGTGGGTAAGGCCACCACCAGTGAGGCCATCCTGGAGGTGTGTGGCACCTTCCAGGACATGCTGAGGCCCACCATGCTCTGCATGCATCACCCCCAGGCAGTGGTGGCAGGGTTCCCTACCCTGGGCTTCCTCCAGTGCATCAGGGCCCTGGATGGGACACATCCCCATCATCTGTCTGGCCCATGGACACCACCCCTATTACAGCAGGAGGGGCTTTCACTCTGTGGTGCTCCTGCAGGCTTAGGGAAGGCTGCTGGGGGTGTGCTGCAGGCAGTTGGAACTGGTCCTACTGGCCAGAAGCTTTCTGCAGCTGGACCTGTGGGCTGAGAGGCCTGGCTGGAGTCTGCAGCTGCCTGCAGCACCTTGCTGGCCTGGTTGGCATGGTCCTGGCAGCTGTGAGCACTGCAGTTCCAGGCTGTAGTGCTCCGGTTCAGACAAGCTGGCATAGCTAAGCTGTGGCCTGCCCGGGGGGACACAGGGGCCTCAAGTGCCCTCAGGCTCCTTGCATGTGTGCCCCAGGGCTCAAAATGCCTGCAGGCTTTTAAAGCCTGAGGCAGGGGACTGCCTTAGAGGCAGCCCAGCCCTGGGGCAGGAGAGGCTCCTATCCTGGAGCCCTGTGGCCAGCCTGAGACCAGCCTCTTAGTGGCAGGGTAGACTTGAGAGCAAACTTGCTCCTGGGTCACATCTACATATTCGTTACTGTGCAGGACCTAATCCTGTGTAAATTTGCCACCGCACAATTAAGGGTTTTTATGCACCAATTTATCCATGATTAAGGGTTTTTACTGTGCAGTTATTATGTACACGCTCACACTTACTGCACAGTAAACTAGGCTACTCCACATTTAGGCATCTCATGTAGACACTCCCACTGCTTAGTAAACTATGCTACTACACAGTAAACATCTTGTGTAGATGCACCCAGAAAAGACAAATTAAGAGGACAAAAACAGTCAAAAAATGACTTTCATCTGATCACTTGATCTTAGCAGAACTTTTACCTCCTGGTCATCAAAGCCACAACTTCACAAATACTTTGTGCAGAGGTAGAAGAGTCACACAAACACTGAAGGAAATTCTAAATAAGAGTAGCAACATAAGTTCTGTACAAGTGGTATAGATACTGAGTTTATGGATCCTTAATTTCATGGTCTAATCCAGTGGTTTTCAACTTGTGGTCCATGGATCCCTGGGGGTCTGCAGACTATGTCTAAGGGATCCGTGAAAGATGACTATGATCAATGAAAAGTATGTGAATACCAACACTTACAATTCAAATGGGTCCACACCTCCATTTGAAATTTCCAAAGGGGTCTGTACCTCCATTCAACATTTTTTAGGTGTCTGGAAATTTTAAAAAGTTAAAACCCATTGGTCTAATCTATGCCTAGCCTGCATAAATTAGAGCTGCCAGAAGTAGCTTTTACTCATTCCTTCTGACTAGGACCCCAAGGTACCAGATGCCTTAGAACAAAGCCAAAGTACCACAATATTCTTTCTGTGTCTAAAAATTATATACTTTTATGTTCACATATAATATCTATATTTTGACATCCAAAGCGATTGGATATAATCCTGTCTCTGTTAAATCAGTGGCTAATATCCTTTGACTTGAATGGAGACAGGATGTTGAATATAGTTTTCACTATCAAAATGTGAAAGATATTGCTAAAGTGCTGCTGGAAAAAGGTGAAGATCTGTTATGGAGAGACAGCTCAAAGAGTGTACAATTTAATTACCATATAGCAAATGGAATGAATTAGACAAATTTGTCTTCTGGATATTCAAGAGTTTCATATGTTGGAAAAAGTCCTACTGTGGCCTGATCCTACAAATGCTTTTATAATTCAATGCTATCTGTTACTTAAGAATATCATAAGACATGCTCAGTTCTCTCATGATGATTTCCCTGGGCATGTTATGAGACACAAAGTCCTTCCATTGCCAAAATCTATATTAAAATTTAACATGAGTGCTATGAAGATTTCTTTTGTAAATGTTATTGCCTTCATGGTTAGTGCATTATAGCCACCTTGGATAAAGAGAGATAAGGAGGAGAATTTCCAGGGGTGTTGGATGGCTCACTTCCATTATGCTTTTGAAAGTATTCCCCAATGATTAATTTCAAGTTGGCACAGGAATTATTGGGATATGATATATGATGTGATATGATATGATACTATAAGTGACTGTGCTTTACAATATATACAAATTGTGTGAAACTAGAACAAATATGATGTAACTCAGCATTAATTTTTCAACATTTTTTTGGACCAACTAACAAAATTCTTTGCAATAAAGGTATGTCCATTTATGTCTTGAATGAACGTATCTACTTTTACCTTTCATTTACTTCAGCTAGGTTTGGTCTGCTGTACAGTACAGTACCCATAATTATTAGTTAAGTTTAGCAGAGAGATCAAATAATGTTACATTCTACTTCATGCAATATTTTCTCTGAACTATTCTCTTTTCGCTTGCAGGACTGTTCTGTTTACACTGACCTCTGTAGTTGTGCTTGTCATCACTACTGACTGGATCAGCTGGGACAAGTTGAATCGTGGATTTCTGCCAAGCGATGAGGTCTCAAGAGCCTTCTTGGCTTCTTTCATCTTAGTGTTTGACCTTCTTATTATCATGCAGGTACATTTCCCTAATGTTTCATTCAGGCTCCTGGAGCTGTCTAGTCGCTGTGTTTCCACTAGAGCAAACACTGTTCAGCTCAGACCTCATAAAGTTAAATAAATGTTCAGTTTGCAATCACTATTAATAGAGGTATTTTACATCAACATTCTCAGGGACTTTGAAAAATCCAGTTGGCCTTTTGTTGTGAAAACATTGTTGATTTGTTTTGCTTAGGCTGCCAGGTAAGAACTTGGTGACTTTCCAAATGGGAAGGCATTTTTCTGCCAAAACTTCACTGAAAATAGAAAAGGAAGCTAGTCATTTTGTAAATGAAAAGCCTCCATTATGAGGATGAGAGAAACTCAACAAAGCAAAGAAAAAGATTGCTAGTGAGTGCAAAGGTTTACAACATTTGAAAAGTACATAATACGCAAATGTATTTTTAGTGATGCAAATTAATATTTTTCAATATTCAATCTTTCCACTTTCAGGTAAACAGTATTTTACCCTATTTGCTGTACTGTTATATCTTCCACCAGTTAGTGCAACAAGGGAGATAATTTTCTGTCATCCTTCCAGAGTCTGCTCTTTTGAATTTGGCAGTTAAGAAAGGAGTTGTGGACACAGTAGATATAAGCCCAAACACCTCCCTTATGTGGCATTATGCCCTGCAAGTGGCATCTGTCTCCTGCTTGAGTTTGTCCTAGTGTTTTCTAAAGGCAATTCTGATGCTATGTCAAGAGAAGGTGGTAGTAGATTACTTTGGCTTTAAAAAGTACTTGATAAAAGAGAAATATCAGAGGTCTGGATGACTAATAGTATTTGCCTAGTGTCACGTCATTGAATTGAGGCTTATTGAGGAAGTTCAAAGTGCCCAAAATAGCTGGTTGTGTTCTCTCATCTTTGGACAGTCTATTGTATTTTTGTTTACAGTCACTAAATTGTGGTAGCTGAGGTTCTTCATTCTCTTTAATAAGGTACCAGCTTTTTTGTGGTTGCGTCTACAGAAATGCTACATCTCTATAGCAATGAGCTTTAGCGACGTAGCTTGTCGCTACAGCGACGTAGCATCAGCGGGCATGAACTGTGACACCAATGCCACTGCGCAGTAGCAACGAGCTATAGTCAGAAATGACCCATGCACCACCAGGACTGTGCAGTAACAGCAGTTACTACACAGTCATTTAGTACTTGCCAAAGCAATAACAACTGTGCAGTTGGGGGCACGTGTAGACATACCCTGTAAGTAGTAAAAAATGTCTGCTGCCTGGTTACCATAGAGGTAATACTGTTGTGGCAATTAGCTTTTATCAGTACTGCAATGGAATATCAGAAGAGTATACATTTCTATGGATTAGCTTCATCTCATGGTATCCATAGTATATCAGTGTATTCGTTGAACCATAATTTACAAAAAAAATGATTAAATGTTTAATGAGTTTTGCATTGTGCTTCCTTTTCTCCCACTCTGTATTTTACATTTCATTTGGTCTTTTAAAACAATTCAGGAGACTGTATTAAGCAGGTGTCCTTTGTGTGCCTATAATGAGAGCATGAATTGAAATGTACCGTATCTTATAATTAACCTATACTGCATTGAATACTGTATGCCAGAATACATTATACGTTGATACCAAAATCATTATCAAACCATCCACCTGATTTTTTTAAAATGAAGTCACCATACTTTGACATAGATAGGGCTGTTAAGTTTAGAGGAGTGAAGACCTATCCTGATTATTATTTCATATTTTTACAACATAAAACAAGACCCCCACCATTGCATTTTGAATGGTGTTTGAAGGGGAGATTTGTTTATTTACTTATTGAAGGATATGTATTCCAAATGTTCAACTGAGGGCATAGGCACACACAAAACTTAGAACAGTTTAAATGTAGTTTAAATTTAAAGCAGACAAACATGCAAAGCTTCCTGGAACAGTTCAAATGTGTACCTGGGAAATCAAGTACTATTTTGAACCAGTTCAATGTGAATCAGGTCAGTGTTGTGTGGTTACCAAGAATTATGTGACACAGGCCTGATCCAGGCATCCCACACTGCATCACTTCTCATCCTTCAGCTTGGTGAGTCATTTTTAGGAGAAAAGGGAAAAAAGAAAAGTAAAATGCCCTGACCTGCAGGACATGCATCCCTTGGAACCCCCAAAACATGGGTGAAAATATTGCTCCCCATACACACTCACTGAGAGGCATGCTGGGCTAGGTGTTCACACCCACCCCCTGGTGCCAGAGCCATGGCACTTCACACAATATGAACTGGTCTCCATTAAATGACATTTGGAAATAGTGCAATTGTTCTGTGCAGACAACACCTTTGTGACATATTGTGTATTGTGTGGTTCTAGTGCTAGTGTATTGTCAGTTCAATAGAATCAGGTTGACAGAGCTGACTGTTAAATTACAAGCAGAAATAAGTGTCAAAATAAAAATTCTTTGTCTATACTGGAAGGAGGCAAGCATGTTTCATAAATTCTTTTTAATAGTAGTGCCTGTTTCACAACATTTTTGTAAGCTTTTCCAATAGACTAGCAAAATAAGAAAAAAAACCAGTATTGCATTAAATGCTCTAATTCCTGTAGGAGGATAATGTTAATTAAGTACACAGATGAAATTTCATTTAGTTTTCTGGTTAAATACTGTACAGACATTTTTCCTACATTTTAATGGTAGCATTACTACTGTAAATGTGACTAAGTTTAGCAACGGGAGCAAATAAATTGAGTTTGAAACCATTCTCAGTGCTGTGAAAAATAATTACATTATTGTAAAGCACAAACTAGCCTACTTAATATTTTTGGAATTTAATATTTATTCAAGCCCCATGTAGAGCAAGGCACTTCAGAAACAAATAAAGAAGTGAGAGGATCCTGCCGTGAAGGGCTAACATTTTAAAATAGAAATAACACAGCAAGGGATGCAATAAACAAAGAGTGGAGGTGGAAATATGGGAGACCAAAGGTTGCACAGTAAGAGTTCATGAGTTATTGTTTTGTGCACTTCTTTTTACTTTCTCTTCTCCCCTGCTTTAAGCAGCAATAGCCCAGGCAGACTCAGGCAGCTAGAACAGTATCCCAACCCCAACCCCAACTCCAGCCTGTATCTATTGAGTGTAAAGAATGTGCTTGCTATCCTGTAGCCTAGTGATAAGGGCAACCTCCTGGGTCTGAACACCCCTTGGACTGAACAGGGCCTAGAATGCAGGTTGCCCATTCTGTGAGAAAACAGTGTAATTACTAGGGGTCAGCAGCATTTGTCAGCAGGGGATCCTTTTAATGAAGCCTAGCCCCAAGCACTGGCTGCCTCCATGCCACTGCCACAACAGGCCAAAGGTTGCTGACCCTGGACTAAGCTATTGTGCAAAAGGTATGCTCCTTCTTCTGGCTGTGCTTTTGAATGATACTGGCTGCATCTACATATGCAATGAATGTGCCTAAATCTTAGTGCACAGTAAATTGAACTGTATTAAGCTTTAGCGGGAATGCATCTACATGGGGCTCCTGCAGGGGAACAGAACAGGGCAGGATCAGAATTTTCTGCACAGAAATCAGGATCAGCCCTTGACTGAACGTTCATATGTATGCAAGGATACTTTAATGCACCTGAATTTTCTGTGCAGAAAATTCAGTCACGTTATTTTCACATGTAGATGTACCCACAGTATAGATGCTAGGTGAATTTAGGCAATAGTGGTTTTGCGGACAGTAGAATAGAGTTTATCTGGATCACTTGTTGCAGCTTTGGTACCTAAATCTTCCTGAGTGCATCACAAGTTTATTAATGTGCCATAGTTACTATGCATTAAGTTTAGTATTTCATAGATTTCATAGACATTAAGGCTGGAAGGAACCTCAAAGATCATCAAGTCCAGCCCCCTGCCCCAGAGGCAGGAAGTCAGCTAGGGTCAAAGGACCCCAGCAAGATAAGCATCCAAGCATTTCTTGAATAAGTCCGGAGTAGGTGCCTGAACCGCATCTGGAGGCAACCTATTCCAGGTCTTGGGGGCTCAGACAGTAAAGAAATTTTTTCTTGTGTCCAGCCTAAAATGATCTGGTGGAGTTTATGACCGCTGGTCCTTGTTTTTTCTTGGGGTGCTCTGGTGAACAGATGTTCTCCCAGATCCTGATGAACACACCTTGTGTACTTATACCAGGTCCCCCCTGAGCCTGCGCTTTTCAAGACTGAAGAGTCCCAAGGCTTTCAGCCTCTCTTCATAGGGCCTGTTCTCTTGCCCTCTGGATTCTCTCAAGCTTCTTGACATCCTTCTTGAATTGCAGAGCCCAGAACTGGATGCAGTACTCCAGCTGCAGCCACACCAAGGCCGAGTACAGTGGGAGGATGACAACCTGAGATTTACTTGAGAAGCATCTATAGGTACAAGCCAGGGTTTTGTTTGCCTTACCAGATGTGACATCACATCGGTGGCTCATGTTCATCTTGTGGTCAGTCATGACCCCCAAGTCTCTTTCAGCAGTGGTGCTAGCAAGCATAGCACTGCTGAGCCTATAAGTATGCTGTGGGTTCTTTTTCCTGAGGTGGAGTACCTTGCATTTATCAGTATTGACTGTCATCAGGTTTGTGTCTGCCCACTTACTAAGCTTATCCAAGTCAGCCTGGATCACTAGCCTGTCCTCAGGTGTGGACACTATGCCCCAAAGTTTAGTGTCATCAGTGAACTTAGCTGTCTCTAGTGGGTTATGGAATAGAGAAAATCCCACACAATTTACTGATTCGTTTGATGCACTGCCTGGGGGAGTAGTTAGCTACTTGCATGATTTCACAATGATTACACACTTAATTCATACAACACAATTTTATTTTAAAATTCTTTGCTACACATATAACACTGCTTAGCTTTAAGAAATACCACAAACATTAAGAACACAATACCTACATATATCAGAAACAATGCTCCAAATGCACTTCCTTCCCAAACAATGTTATAAGAATTAGTGTTACAAAAACAACTACAATTACGACTAAAAGTTAAATTTGAATCA